CTAACAACTCATCCAGTAAATTCAAAAAAGGTGGTTGTCGTAAGTGTGTTGGGAGTAATGTCTGAATTGTAGAAAACGGTCTTTGCTTTAAATGTGTTCTAGACAATTATCATTTATTAATCCAAGCAGCAATAAAGCAAGATGGTTTAGAGAAAACAAGAATTGAATGAGAAAAAGTTAAACAAAAAGTAGAAAGATGGTTCACAAATATAAAAAATGATGAAAGATACCAAACTGGATTAACTGACGAGGAAAAAAGGGAAGGTGAGAAAATGGCAAATGAACTTTTTCAAGCAATTGAAGAAGAGATTTATCCGGAAAGGAAGAAAGGGAATAGTGGCTCAGGTTGGATATGGTTATTGGTAATAGTGGGAGTGGTTGCAGTTGGAGTAATTGGTTTGATTTTATATAGAAACAAGCAAAGAAATAAAAAGTAGCATGATGATGAAGTTTAAGAGTTTCTATGATTTGAAAAAAGCATTTCCAACTGAAAAGAGTTGTATCAAGTATTTAGAAAAACACAGATGAAAAGGAATTATAACTTCTCCCCTTGACCCCACTTCCAAGGTTTACAAGTGTAAGAATAATAGATATAAATGTAAGAACACTGGCAAATACTTCAATGTCAGAACCGGAACTATATTTGAAAACTCCAAGATATCTTTACAAAAATGATTTTGAGCCTTATTTGCTTTTTCTTCTCGTAAAAAAGGCATCTCTTCTTACCAGTTAGCCCGAGAAACTGATATTACTCAGAAATCAGCCTGATTTATGCTTCATCGTTCTCGTTATACTTTTGACCAACTTAGTTTTATTAAGGAGATGTTAAAGGGAGTTATTGAAATAGATGAAATGTTCATAGGTGGCAAGAACAAAAACCGACACTGAAACAAGAAAATTCCTCATTCCCAAGGTAGAAGTTGTAAAGATAAAATTCCGATTTGGGGAGCAGTTGGAAGGGATAGTGGTAATATGATTGCTAGGGCTGTTCCTAATAATCAACAAAGCACTTTGGTGTCGTTGGTTAAGGATAATATCAAAAAAGGTTCTGATGTTTACAGTGATGAATTACCTGCTTATGAAATTCTAGGTAAATGATACAATCATGAAATAGTTAACCATAGAAAGAAGCAATATGTCAATGGTAAGGTTTCTACTAATACTATCGAAAGTGCTTGAGCTCCTTTCAAAAGAAGCATTTATGGAATTTATCACAACATAAGTAGAAAACATGCTCAAAGATATATTGATGAGATTACTTTTCGTTATAATACTCGAAAATATGAAGAGAAAGAAAGGTTTGATTTAGCACTTTTATCAAGTATGGGAAAACGATTGACATATCAACAATTAATCAATTAAAGATATGAAAAATAAGAATACAGAAATAATAGAAGCAAAATACAAAGGTGAATTAGACCTAGTAGGATTTAAAATATCTTGTTATGTTTTGGAAGATGGAAGGAGAATTTTATCAAATAGAGGCACGGCGAGGGTTTTAAAAATGACGGATGAAGGAGATAAACAAGCAAGTGGGTCAAGATGAAACCGTTATTTAAATCAAAAGTCTCTTAAACCCTTTATAGACAAGGTCAAGGTGGTGGGCCACCTTGACCCCATTTTCTTTCGTTATAAAGGAAAAATTGGTTATGGTAATGAAGCAACCTTATTGCCAGATATATGTGATGTTTTTTTAGAAGCAAGAAGAAACATAAACTTATTGCCACGGCAAAAAATCATTGCTGACCAATGTGAAATAATAATGAGAGCATTTTCCAAGGTTGGTATTATCGCCTTAATAGATGAAAAAACTGGCTACCAATATGAAAGGGAAAGATTTGAATTAAACAAAATATTTAGACTGCTCGTTTTAAAAGATAGATTATTTTCAAAATGAAAGGAAATGTTCCCACTAGGTTATTATAAGGATGTATTTGGAGTTTATGATGTATCTTTTACTCCCGAAAACATAAGGAGAAAACCACGATTTATTGGTTGACTAACTAATGAACTAGTTTATAAAAACTTACCAAAAGGTTCATTTGTGTTAAAAGAGATAAAATCAAGAACTCCAAAAACCAAAGGAGGGCATTATAAAAAAAGGTTTCACCAATCTTTAACTCCCCTAGGAAAAAAGGCTGTGGAAGAGATAATTAATACAGTAAGAACATTGGCTTGGGTTTCCGGAAAAGATAGAAATAAATTTCGGAGATTAGTAAAGGAAAGGCTTCAACTTGAAAGGGAATTGCCCTATATAGATGTAGAAGCCATGGATGATAGTAAAAAAGAAACGGATTTTGATAAGGTATTAAAAACTGCTATAAATACACCACCACTAAAACTGAAAGACCTCAAAGAAAAGTTGAAGAAAGCAAATGATAATAAGTAGGCTTATTGGCTTGGTGTAAAATTATATATTAATCCCAAAAAAAAAAAAAAAACAAGTAGTCTTGCCAATAATCAATCATGTTTAGTAAATGTTATCGTTGTCAAGAAATACTTTGGGGAGCCTCAGTTAAGGACATCAAAGGCAATGACTACTGCCTTGATTGTTCAAAATGTTCCCAATGCCACTTAAAACTTACCGGCAAGTATCATGTTGGTCTCAAAGGAGGTTTTTGGTGTAGTGATTGTGTCAAAAATCATCGCATTAAAGAAGTAGCAACCGCCCAACAAGAAATAAAGAAATTAGCCCAAGAAAGAGAAGAATTGCAAAAACAATTAGATGAGTTAAATAATCCCGCTTCTCATTGTGAAATTTGTTCTAAAAAAATAAAGGGTGGTGATACTTATTATGCTACTTCCCAAGAACCAGATAAAAAAACTTGCCCTACTTGTTATCAAGACCAAATAGATAAAAGGTTAGCCGAAACAAAAAGGAAGAAAAAAGAATTAGAGAGAGAAAATGAAGAAGTTAACGATATAATGGAGCAAGCCGAACAAGCCAACTTAGCAGGAAAAGTTTTTGTTCTTTCCGAGCGAGGAAAAAAGTTATTAGGATCCAAGGGAGTAAAAATTGTTGAAGATGGTAATAATTTAGTGAGAAAACAACAAAATCAAGATAGTCAGAATAATTATCCTACTTCTCACGATAATCAAAGATTTAATGATAATAGTAAAAAAGATCAAGGATTGGAATATTTGACCCCTCTTCTGGTCGGAGGCGGAATAATTATTATAATAATTTGTTTGATTAAAAGTGGCAAAAGCAAGCAACAAGCTTTTAGTTCTACTAAAAACAGAAAAAATAAAAAATAGAATATGACATGAGGATATTGATATTGTTCTTATTGTAGGGAAAGCACAAAAGGCAAAGGCGATCATTGAAGTTATGATGGAGGTAGCATTACACAAACTTGCTCCAAACCCGAATGCCAAGCATTAGAAAAAGAACAAAAAGAGACAAAAAGAAAAAACCAAGAAAATATTAATGACATTCATGATGAATATAACAAAGGTAAGAAAGAACTAGATGACTTGGAAGAACAGTTGAAAAAGAACATTAATCAAAAACTTAATGATGATGCTAAAAAAATATCACCAGTAGTGATGTAGTTATTTACTACTTGACTAGGGTTAACTTCAAGTAATTTGATATCTCTTTTCATTTCACTAATAGATTTTTCAATATTAGTTATTTGTTGAGGTAGATTTTGTTTTTCTTTATTTTGTCTTTCTAAGGTTAATTCGTGATGATACAACTCTTCAAATTTATTAAGAATGATTTCTACTGTTCTAGTGAACTTTTTATTTTCTAATTTATAATAAAGACTGTCATACTGTTTACGAAGTTCAGTTATATTAGATGCTTCTAGTCGTTTGGCTCAAAAGTATTCTTTATGAACTGAAATTAGTTTTTGGAGCATTTGTTCTTGTTCTTCGGTAAAAAGTAAATAATCTTTAACTATTTTTTCTTTTTGTTCTTTAACTAACCTTTCACTTTCAGCAGTTAAGGTTTCTAAATCAACTATTCTTTTAGTTAACCTTGCTTTTTCTGCTTCTAAGAGTTTTAATTGTTCTCGTAATTGTTCAGTGGTGATTTTGCCTTGGTTAGTTTCTTTTCATCTTTGGTGGAGAACTGCTTTATTTGGGTTTATTTCTCAAAACCATTTTTGTTTTTTAAGTTCTTTTTGGTATTCTTCTTTTAATTCAGATAAGTTTAAGTTTAAGTTTTGGTTAGGGGCATGGTTAGTTAGTTTTAGGTATTCAATGAAGAGATAATCTTTAAGGTTTAGACCGAGATTAGTTCATTCAAGAGCTTGTTTGAGGTTAAAACCGAGTTCTTTTCAGTTTTTTCTTTCAGTAAACAAATCTAATTGTTTTTTAATCTCTGCTAATTGACAGTTAGGTCTTAGTTTGGTGTCATAATCAAACTTTTCTAAACTATCTGGTAAATATTCTCAACCACTAGTTAGGTCAGTATTTTTAATATCTAATCATCCTAACTCATTCAAATCTTTTAATGGTTCTAAACTTCCTTGAAAACGATTATAAATACCTTGGTTGATTTTGTTTTTATCTGAATTACCAATTAATAACCATTCTAAATTCCTCATCTGACTAAAAATAGTTAAGTCAGCAGTAGCAAGATTATTGTTGTGTATTCATAAACTAGTTATTTTTTCTAGATTAGAGGGAAGTCTAGGATAGACTATTTGAGTGAGGTAATTATCAGAAAAATTAAGTAAATTTAACTGTTTGCAATTACTCAAATTAAGATTAGTGAGTTGGTTATTAGAGCATTTAATTCTCCATAATTTCTTACAATTATTTAAATTTAGTTTAGTGAGGCAATTATTATAGAGATATAATTTCTCTAAATTCGGAAAATCAGTTAAGTCTAAATTTCCTTCTAAGCCTTTGTCAACTATATATAACTTTGTTATTTCTGCTTTGGCTTGTTCAGTTGGATATTTTTGTTGGAGATAAGTTTCAACTAGTTGACAAGGGATTATTTTGGTTTTTGTTTCATCTCAATCATAAAAACCTCCTTTTAGCTCAAATTTACTACTATCAACTGAGGTAGAAATAAATATTCATTCTAAATTCTTATACTCTGAACAATCCAGCACTCCTGTTAATTGTTGGTTGAGGTAGATACTTTTTGTTCACTTATCAGGATAATTTTGTTCTAGTCAGTCTTGGGTTTGCATAAAGTTATTTTAGATTCAAACGCATCTTTAAATTTTTGACAAGAATCTTTAGTTCTTTTATTACTCTCATTAGATAAAAAATAATAACTAGTAAAATAACCATTCCACCCAAAGAAATAGCGTGCAAAACACAACTTCAACAAACGCCACCCTTTGCCTGATAAACAACAACTGGTTTTTTATTAATGTTACTAGATTTAATGATCTCTAAAGTAGAGTTAACCAAAATTACTTCTAATTTTTTTTCTAAATGATATTCAAGGGTTTCTAATTTGTTACAATTTTTTATTGTTATTTTTATTAAATCTGGTAAGTTTTTAACACAAATATATTCAAGATTATCAAAGTTTTCGATATTTAGTTCCTTCCCTTCTAATTTACCTGCTTTTTCACCATCCAAAAATACTTGCTTTTGATTTTTTTTGTAAATTTGTCATATTATTTTTTATTTGGGAGGAGTTTGAATTTGGGCTTCCATTCTTTGTTCTGGTTGAGACTGAATTACTTCACTTTGTAATTGACAAAGATTGTTGATTTCCTCTAAACTAAGTTTGCTTTGTAATTTTTCTTTAGCTTCTCTTTGGAGTTGACGAATAGCAAAATTATTATTACCCTGAGTAATTTCAATTTGGGTATCAAGTAAAGTTTCTAAAGCAAGTATTAAATTAACACCTATTTTTTCTTTAGTTTGCTGAATTAATTGGGTTAGTTCATCGTTTTTTGTTTGAGAATTTAAACCTTGCACTGGTAAAATAGGTAATTCTTTATTTTGAGAAGTTGAAGCGATTACTTCACTAAAATCTTTTTCATTTTGGTTATTTGTTACTTCTTGTTCCGTGTTACCAGAGACAAGGAGAGGTTTATTTTTTCTTTTCTGGATTAAATAGTAAGTTATTCCACCAACTGTAATAGCTCCGATGGTAGCACCAATAGGAATAGCAATTTTTTCGGTAAGATGAGAGTTATCATCGGAAAGAGGAGTTGGAGTAGGGGTGATGGAATTAGGAGAATTATTGATAGCAGTAGCAGAAGTTACTTGTTGAGTAGTAGTAGTTGGTATTTCAACTAGTGAAGTTGAAATTGAAGTAATAGTTAAAACCGGACTTTTTGGGAAAGGGGCTACTCATTGCAAGTAACAATTATTAACGACTAATTGAGAAAAACTAAAAAGTTGACATGTTCAACCGCCATTATCTCAATTACAAGTTAGTCCATCACAGGGAGAAAAATTTGGACATTCTCAGTGGGCATAACCTGGGGAGTAATAGTATCAAGATAATTAGAAATAGTCACAAGGTCTTTGGGGCATTTATTACCCAAAGTAGTGCTACCGGTAATTAAATTATTGCCAATGATACCTCCACAACCTATATTAAAACAAAATATTTCTTGATTAAGTTTATTACAGGCAAATCCTTTATTGCCAGCAGGACAAGCTACTCCAAATACTACTGGAGAACATTTTATATTATCACAACAAACACCTAATACTTTACCACTATTTATGTCAATATTGTTAGCGAAGTCAAAGTTAAGTAAGAAATTGTAATAGACATTATTGTAAGAGTCTATGCAATTCTTAAACTTTTCTCCTGCTTCTACTCCATTAACTGACAAAAAAGTCAGTCAAAATAAACCATTCATTTTTTTACTAGTTAAAGTTGTAGGTAAATTTAATTTCATAAGTTTTTTATTTTTTCCGTATGTCTCCATACTTTTACTAAATACTTTATCTAAGCAAATATATTTATGCCTTATTCCCAAGGATAAACAATATTCCTCTTCACCTTAGCCAGTCCATCCGCGAACTGGCATAGTGAAGATTTTTATACACTTAATTTTTTAAGTATAAGTTTATTTTATACGGTTGGCTCATAATTTTACTACATGCCTTATATATTAAATTAACAACATATGCCTAAAATAATATTATTAGAAAGCGAACGAGAAGTTAATTACTGATTTTAAAAAATCAAAAATTTTTCAATCTAAGATTTAAAATAAACAATGCTGAATATTGATAGCGAAAAAAAAGGAAATTATTATATTATTGCCGACCATTTGCGGACAACTATCTTTGCTTTGGCCGATGGCGCGGAATTTGAACCCAAAGGGCGAGGATATATTCTCAAAAAATTAGTGAAAAGAGCCACTTTGTTAGCTCATTTACTTGGTCTAAATAACGAACAATTACAAAAAGTTAGTGAAAAATTGATTGCAGTTAATTCAACTTATTACCAACATTTGAAAAAAAAGGAAGCTTGGATAATTGGTGAACTAAATAAAGAGATAAATAAAACAAGGGAGTTTATTGATAAATCAACCCAAGAGTTAGGTAAACATTATAACCCTAAAATCACGGCCGAAGAGATATTTTTTTGATATGATACCAAAGGTATCCCTTTGGAATTAATTCGTTTTTATTTAGAAAAAGAAAATTATCAGTTTCCGGAAAGAGAGTTTCAAAAGCTATTAGAAAAGCAGAAAGAGAAAGGCCGAAAGGACTGAGAAGACAAAAAAGTATCCGTTTTTTAAAAATAAAAAAAAATTTAGGTTGACGCAAATATATTTTTCTAAATTCGCTACATTATTCGGCAAAGAGGCACAATGCTTATTACTACACTAGCTACTCCGGCTACTGTTTGAGTCGTAGTAGCCACATTATTCCAACTTATTTCTTTTAGATATTGCCTAATATTCTTGCTTTCTTTTTGTATTTCACTTTTTAACTCTTTTACTTGTTGTTTCTCAGTTTTCTTTAAGTTAACAAGTTTTTGCTCTAATTCTTTCTTTTTAATCAGAGATTCTTTAATTTTAGCAGTTACTTTTTTTAGGTTTTGGGGTTGGTAAACTCCTTGACAATTGTTTTCAAGATGACTTAATAATATTTTTCTGGATTTACTTCGTTTGACCGAGGAGCATTGTCTAAATAAATGATTTTTTTGTTTAATTGTGCTTGCCGAACTATCTTTTCTAACTCACCGCCATTCTTAATCATTTCTTCAATATCGTCTTCTTTATCTTGATCTTGGTCAAACTCAGCAAACTTAGTGCGAATAATAGTAACGTATTTAGTAATATCTTCTCCAAAAATTTTTTGTTTTAATAAGTTGTATTTTTTGATTTCTTCGCGGTCAAAAGAATCTCCAATCACAAAAAAAACTTGGCACAAAACTTTTTCTTCTAATGAACAAATTACTTCGGCTATTCTCTCTCATATTTGCTCATCGTTTAGGCGAGTATCGCCAAAACCAGGAACATCGATCACTTGATATTTGCTATCTTCAGTTTCGAATTCGGCGAATTGGACGTCCTGAGTTACACTAACTGTGCTAGAACTTTCTTTAAAAACTTCTTTAAGTTCGTTGGCTGTGTTGACAAGAACATTAGCAAGAGCAGATTTGCCACTTCTAATTTTACCAATTAGCAAAACGCTTTTGATATTTTTCTCTTTAAAATCATTTAACTCAGTTTCCAACTTTTCTAACTGCATTTCTAATTTAGTATCTTCTAAATCTTTTTTTATTCAATTTCAATGTTTCAGATCTAAATAATCTTCTCAATAATTTTTTCCCTTCTCACTATTATTATTCTCAGACAAATTAGTAGAATCAATTATTTTCCAAGTTAATTCTTGTTTTTTGTTTCTTAATGACATTTTTAATAACATTTCTTCTGAAATCTTGTCTTGACGATAACTATTTATACTTTCTTCTAACTTTCTAATTAGTTCAGCAATTCTTCCTAGTTGACTGCCTCCTGGTGCTTTTCCTCCTTTTTCCTTACTTAAATCTGTTGCCAATTTACTTTTACTTTTTTTTTCTATTAATTCTGAAACGTTAATGGTTCCATTTCCATCCTCATCATACTTGTCTAAAAATGTTTTAGTTTTGTCCCTTAAATCATTAAGTGCTGTATTTACTTCTCCTACTTCTTTCTTTTCAATCCCTCCCAGCATTATGTTCAACCGCCATTATCTCAATTACAAGTTAGTCCATCACAGGGAGAAAAATTTGGACATTCTCAGTGGGCATAACCTTTAGCTAGACCTTGTGGAGTAATAGTATCAAGATAATTAGAAATAGTCACAAGGTCTTTGGGGCATTTATTACCCAAAGTAGTGCTACCGGTAATTAAATTATTGCCAATGATACCTCCACAACCTATATTAAAACAAAATATTTCTTGATTAAGTTTATTACAGGCAAATCCTTTATTGCCAGCAGGACAAGCTACTCCAAATACTACTGGAGAACATTTTATATTATCACAACAAACACCTAATACTTTACCACTATTTATGTCAATATTGTTAGCGAAGTCAAAGTTAAGTAAGAAATTGTAATAGACATTATTGTAAGAGTCTATGCAATTCTTAAACTTTTCTCCTGCTTCTACTCCATTAACTGACAAAAAAGTCAGTCAAAATAAACCATTCATTTTTTTACTAGTTAAAGTTGTAGGTAAATTTAATTTCATAAGTTTTTTATTTTTTCCGTATGTCTCCATACTTTTACTAAATACTTTATCTAAGCAAATATATTTATGCCTTATTCCCAAGGATAAACAATATTCCTCTTCACCTTAGCCAGTCCATCCGCGAACTGGCATAGTGAAGATTTTTATACACTTAATTTTTTAAGTATAAGTTTATTTTATACAGTCGGTTCATGACACTGACATGTCCTCTAACATTATCACACATATATAAAAAATATTATACAGACATAGTTCCGTAAAAGAAAATTTGTTTTATCTTCCGGAGAGTT